TTTCTATTAACTGGCTAACATTTCATCTGTCAGGTTATCAGAGGTTTCATTGTTACTCACCACACTAATGGAATCCCCAGGAAATGCCATCAGGTCTTTCTTTATATCACCTTATTCAGAAATTGGAGATAAGAATTCTTCTACGTTTAGGAAAAGGCCCTAACCTGAGATACACATCACTGAGGCTGCCCATAGTCATTAGCTGGCCCTGTACATCACAGCCTATAATTGCCCGGTCTCCTATAGAGGTAACTTGCATAGTCAGCTCAAGGAAGATTATGAAAAGATTGTCTTCACAAAGGGTCTTGCACTGGCCATACATGTTACAATGTGATTGTGATCTTTACAATTTCCTTTAGATTTACCAATTATGTTGAAAGCAGAGAGAGAGATGGAGCATGCCCACTGGTGGTATTAAACTGAATGTGTACACGCACTCTGCTGGAATGAAAATGGAGCACTCTTCTCTCTTTATAATATGTATTATATATATAAAATGCAAAGAGTCGGATGCCGTGGTGTAAAGCACGCCGCTACTGGACTCTAGAGAAGTGGAGACGTGTTCTCTGGAGTGAGGAATCACGCTTCTCTGGGGTGGAGGAACTTGACTGGCCTGCACAGAGTACTGACCTCAACCCGTTAGAACACCTTTGGGATGAATGAGAGCGGAGACGGCGAGCCCGGCTTTCTCGTCCAGCATCAGTACCTGACCTCACAAATGGTCCAACATTCCCATAGACACACTCCTAAACCTTATGGACGCCTTCCCAGAAGAGATTACGCTGTTATAGCTGCAAAGGGCGGGCCAACTCAATATTGAACCCTATGGACTAAGACTGGGATGCCATTAAAGTTCATGTGCATGCAAAGGCCGGCGTTCCAATACGTTTGGCAATGTAGTGTATATTGTATATAGTCTATATGGTAATTTGACCAGCCACCAATATGTATAGTCATGTGACCAGCCACCAATATATTTGGTCATTTGGCAGGGAGATGTGTATGGCCCTTACATATCTCCCCATCCAGCTCTTAGCTATCTGGGATGCTCAGGCCAGCGTCCCATCCATCACTGGTTGCCAGGAGGTGGGCAGGGTGCCAGTGGCACAAATTTGTTGCAGATACACCTCTGAGGACATTGCACAAAAAACAGGGATTTTGGGTGAGTAAGTCACCCCAATCAATATGCATATTAGCACTCCTAATGTATGCAAAAGATAAATAAATCAGAGAACTCGAGCAACACCCAAAATAAGACTGGAAAACACCCCGTTCAAGGAATATGCAAATTATCTTCATTTTTGTCCATTGACATTAGGTGAAGGATTGGTCAAATGTTGGTTGAGTTTCTTGCAGGATCATTGATCAGTGCGCCCCTTTATGTCCTCATTTCCCAGATTCACAAACCCATTTGTTATCATGAACCTCCAGTTCCTCTAGCTTACAGTTTGGTTCATTGTAACTTGCCAGCGATCTGCTTCAAGAAGAGTGATATTCATGGTGTGCGGTGTTGTATGTCACATTTCTAAGCAGTGTGATACCCAATCTGCACTGTGACACCTCCCCGATCTCCTCATTACACCACTGACCATATGTCTCATGTATCAGAAGACCCCACAGCTGTCTTCACAGAGACCCCCGGGTTAAATAACACCATTCCACGTGTAAATGTCCATTTGCCGGGCTGTGTGCTGAGCCTTATGGTTTAAAGTGATATTAAAGTCAAAAGGTTTTTAAAGAGGAACTCCGGGCAAATCAAATCTTTACCCTGTGCTGCGGATAGTGACCTGGCCTGGATTCGACCAGGGACCCCCAGTGCTGCAGACAGTGACCTGGCCAGAATTAAAACCTGGGACCCCCAGTGCTGCAGATAGTGACCTGGCCTGGATTCGACCAGGGACCCCCAGTGCTGCGGATAGTGACCTGGCCTGGATTCGACCAGGGACCCCCAGTGCTGCAGACTGTGACCTGGCCAGAATTTAAACCTGGGACCCCCAGTCCTGCAGATAGTGACCTGGCCAGAATTCGCACCAGGGACCCCCAGTGCTGCAGATAGTAACCTGGCTTCGAACCTGGGACCCCCAGTGTAGATAAAGACTCCCAGTGCACATAGTGACCTGGCATGGATTGAACCTGGGACCCCCAGTCCTGCAGATAGTGACCTGGCCAGAATTCGCACCTGGGATCCCCAGTGCTGCAGATAGTGACCTGGCTTCGAACCTGGGACCACCAGTGCAGATAAAGACTCCTGCAGATAGTGACCTGGCCTGGATTGGAACCTGGGACCCCCAGTGCTGCAGATAGTGACCTGGCCTGGATTCGATCAGGGACCCCCAGTGCTGCAGATAGTGACTAGGCCTGGAATCGACCATGGACCCTCAGTCCTGAAGATAGTGACCTGGCTTGGATTGGAACCTGGGACCCCCAGTGCTGCAGATAGTGACTTGGCCTGGATTCGACCAGGGACCCCCAGTGCTGCAGATAGTGACTTGGCCTGGATTCGACCAGGGACCCTCAGTGCTGCAGATAGTGACCTGACCTGGATTCGAACCTACAAATACACAGACTCTCCTTCTTCATCCTCTCCCTTCCTGAGCTTGTAGATGGACGGCTGCTGTAGTCTGCTCTGTCCCTAGACAGGAAGTTCAGGGAATTGGAGCTGAGAGAGTTGGAGCTGTTCAGAAGCATGATGACTGTAAGTGCTTGAGCAAAAATGTAAAGTAATACTTTGCTGGGGGATGTATATTTGTTAGAGGTGCACCAAAATGGAAATTTCAAAACCGAAATGAAACCGAAATAAAAAAAATTGTCAGGCTGAAACCGAAAATTTTTACCTCAATTAAGTACAAACACTCAGCGATCACTGATCCCTGACTGCTTGTACCGTGCTCTCCTCTCTGACACGCTGACACAGGAGGCTGATCGAGCGGTGCGAGAGGAGAGCCCAGCCTCCTGTGACAGCGCGGACTGTCTCCGCCCACACACTGCCGGACTGTGATAGGAGGCTGAGCGGTGTGGGAGGAGAGACGCCGGCCGCTCACAGCGCTCTCCTCCCGCAGCGCTCGGCCCGCTGTCACTTTCTCTTCCTCCCGCTGGGACAGAGAGCCGCGCCCAGCGGGGAAAGAACGGATGCACCGCTGTATCGGCACAAAAGTGGCACTTTCGGCCGTTATGTTTCGGCGGCCAATATATCGGTACATCCCTAATATTTGTTTGCTCTGGATTCATGATGGGAGAAGGTTTGAAAGTTTAATATTTCTTTCCAGTTTGTTGGGTGAAAAAAGTCCAGTGGTACATTGTGGAAGTGAGCAACACCAACCAACCCATCCCGTCCCCACCAATATAAAGGACACTTGTCATAGGAGGAATCGCTGCATTGCTATTGGTAACTGCGTGTCTGTCATGGTCATCCTCGGGCTCCAGGACGTTCTAAGCTACTGCACAATGGAAGAAGAGTCACCGGCGCTCAGTCTTTCAAGGTGCAGATGTAGTAATAATGCGTCTGATAAAGCCAACGTTTCGGAGCCACACAGGGTACCTTCCTCGAGGGGACACAGTGACAATATAACAATCATATCATAGTGCAGAGGACGGCTGTCACATGACCAGCAGAGCCCCAATGATCTCCCGTTGTAATGTGCGGTGCTGAGCTGTCAGTCCTGCTCTTCATTTCTCAATGGAAGCTAGTTTGCCTGCCAAGGGTTTGTCTTTATGTCCATCCACTCCGGAGATTTACGCAGCTCTGTCATGCAGCCCTGTCTATGAAGAGACCTGATTTCTCTCTGCTGCAGTTTCAATTACAGGCCCCCCCCACCCCGTGACAAAATCAACCAGCGGAAGCACCGGTGTCGATACTCGTACTCTATACCGAAAAATCTTTATCGGTGCATCCCTACTTAAGACCCCTGGTTGCCGGTTGCTTGAGAGTGCCGGATAATGGGGAGTTTATTTATAAAGCAGTGCATGTGACCCTTAGCAAACATTCACTGGTGGTGGTGAATCAATCGCCGTCATTTAAAACATTCACGCAGCTGGGAGATTCCTGGGCAGTGAATGTTCGGGAGTGTCGGATTCACCGATGAAGGGGGGACAATGAATACAAAAGTGTGAATCTTGTTACTTTGTATCTCCTACAACGTTCAGCGTCTCTGGTCATGTGACCGCGCGGTTTCCAGGTGGGTGGCTGTCCTGCCAGGGAGGCGGAAGGTCGGGCACAGTGCGGGGGTGACAGACTCCGGAGTTCTCCATAAAGAGGACCTGTCACCTGCACAATGTCATCACATTAGGAGCTCCCTACCATCCAGATTCAGCCCCCTTCTTCCCCCTCCATGTAGATCTAACCCCTGTCATCCCTCAATACAGATTCAGTCCCCTTCTCTCTTCCCCTCCATGCACACGCAGACCCTGCCACCCCCTCCTTCATGCAGATCCAAACCCTGACACCCCTCCATGCACATGTAGCACCTGCCAGCCCCCCGTTATGCGGATCCAGGCCCCTGCTATCCCCTCCATGCAGATCGAGCCCATGTCATCCCCTCTCCATGCAGATCTAGTGTCCCTGTCCTCCCCCCTATGCAGATCCAGTCCCTGTCATCCCCTCCATGCAGATCTAGTGTCCCTGTCCTTCCTCCATGCAGATCCAGACCCTACCATCCCCTCCATGCAGATCTAGTGTCCCTGTCCTCCCTCCATGCAGATCCAGACCCTGCCATCCCCTCCATGCGGATCCAGTCCCTGCCATCCCCCTTTCATGCAGATGCACCCTCTGTCATCCCCCCTCCATGCAGATCCTTGTAGACCCTGCCATCCCCTTCATGCAGATGCAGCCCCTGTCATCCCCCCTCCATGCAGATCCTTGTAGACCCTGCCATCCCCTTCATGCAGATGCAGCCCCTGTCATCCCCCCTCCATGCAGATCCTTGTAGACCCTGCCATACAATCTGATTGGCTGATGATCCGCCTGCCTCTCCGCCATTGGTGAGCCTTGTCAGCCCCGAGCGCCGGTGAGCCGAGCACAGAGCCTGCCAGCCATACAGCGGGAGGAAGAGGAGCAGCGCGGAGCTCAGCCATGGGAGTGGAGATCGAGACCATCACCCCCGGAGACGGTACTGTGTCCGCTTCCATCCGCAGTGTGCACCCATGTCCTACCACACACAGCTCCGGAGTACTGAGCAATGTGCGGGGACAGCTGTCATCACATTGTACATCTGCTACAGACCCTGAGATCACATTATAGACCAGAACCGACCGGTACCCACCGTGACCGGTGTATACAGACTGGTACTGATATTGTATGACCATTGCCCGTGTATACAGACCGGTACTGACATTGCATGACCATCGCCCGTGTATACAGACCGGTACTGACATTGTATGACCATCGCCCGTGTATACAGACCGGTACTGACATTGCATGACCATCACCCATGTGCGTACAGACCGGTACTGACATTGTATGACCATCGCCCGTGTATACAGACCGGTCCTTAGTGTTATGGTAGTTTTATTGATCTGGATATTGTATGATGGACCGATCCGGAATGTTATTGATCATAGCATTGCATTACAGACCGGTTCTGACGGTCATTGCAGTCCTTAGACCGGTACTGAGGGTCAGAGCTGTACCATCGGTCTGTATTGAGTATTATTGGACCATGCTGAGTACATAGTACAAACCATAACATTGCCGAGACATCACCATGGCACTCCACCATACTACTGAGCACCACCCTTCACATGGTGTGCTAGAGTACTATACTCAGAGAGCAGACTGGGCACTGTACACGCATGGTCCATACATCATACATCACTGCTATTGTATGGTCCTTAGCATCACATTATAGACCGGGGCACACATGATCATTGCATTGTAGATCAGTCCATGGGCATTGCACTGACCCGATCCCTCCGGCCGTGGGCATTGCACAGACCCGATCCCTCCGGCCGTGGGCATTGCACAGACCCGATCCCTCCGGCCGTGGACATTGCACAGACCCGATCCCTCCGGTGACGAGCATTGCACACACAGACGCGATCCCTACGGCGAGGAGCATTGCACACACAGACGCGATCCCTCCGGTGACGAGCATTGCACACACAGACGCGATCCCTCCGGCGAGGAGCATTGCACACACAGACGCGATCCCTCCGGCGAGGAGCATTGCACACACAGACGTGCTCGCTGCTTTGTAGATCAGTGCTGAGAATCACCTCAGCATTACACAGATACAGGCACAGCCGGCGAGCGTAGGGACCACTGACATCCATATAGGAAGCAGAATTCCAGGTCCCATCTGTCTCTATACATCAGTGATATGTCATATACATGGCGTGTGTCAGGCTTTATCATGTGCTCCATACATTTCTCCCAGACCCTGCCATCTGTATACAATGTATGTATATGTAGTATGCAATCCCTATATGGTTCTATACAATCCCTATACAGTATATGGTTCTATACAATCCCTTTACAGTGTATGGTTCTATACAATCCCTATACAGTATATGGTCCTATACAATCCCTATACAGTGTATGGTCCTATACAATCCCTATACAGTATATGGTCCTATACAATCCCTATACAGTGTATGGTCCTATACAATCCCTATACAGTATATGGTCCTATACAATCCCTATACAGTGTATGGTCCTATACAATCCCTATACAGTATATGGTCCTATACAATCCCTATATATACTTTATATGTACATTGTACACGCTATTCTATGTGGATATCATACAATACATGTCCAGTTCAGTATTCCCACGTATTGTACCTCACCTCAGTCATATATTACAATGTACATTATCTGTATCAGTTCCATAGACTGAGAGCCGACCTCTCCTGAGCAATGGAACCTTTTACATCAACCGTCATTGTATGCTTTGCTTCAGAGTACAGGACACGCTAAGCATAAACCTGTATACATCAACAGACGTGTTTCACGGTATGGATGTTATTGTGTCCCCCATAAAACACATATTCTGTAAACACCGAGCATGCATTGTTGCGTGTACGCCGGCATTTTTTATACCACGCTCAGAAGATTTTATATCATCTCCATGCAATTTAAGCAGATCCTGATGTACTGCATGTATGTGTTCTGCACACGAGGATGCACAATGTAGCTGTACCCTGGCAGGGCATTGTACCCGGTCTGAGTGCAGCATCATTATTGCTGTATTATTATTACCACTGGTTTTATTATTATTAGTGTGCATCTCTCTCTCTCCTCTCTCTCTCACTCTCTCTCATCTCCCTCTCTCTCTCTTTCTTTCTTTCTCTCTCTCTCATCTCCCTCTCTCTCATCTCCCTCTCTCTCATCTCCCTCTCTCTCATCTCCCTCTCTCTCATCTCCATCTCTCTCTCTCTCTCTTTTCTCTCTCTCTCTTCTCTCTCTTATCTCTCCCTCTCTCTCTCTCTCCCTTATCTCTCCCTCTCTCTCTCTCTTATCTCTCTCTCATCGCCCTCTCTCTCATCTCCCTCTCTCTCTTTCTCTTATCTCCCTCTCTCTCATCTCTCCCTCTCTCTCTTATCTCTCCCTCTCTCTCTTATCTCTCCCTCATCTCTCTCTTCTCTCTCTCTCTTCTCTCTCTCTCTCTCTTCTCTCTCTTCTTTCTCTCTCTCCCTCTCTCTCTCTCTTCTCTCTCTCTCTTCTCTCTCTCTCTCTTATCTCTCCCTCTCTCTCTCTCTCTTATCTCTCCCTCTCTCTCTCTCTTATCTCTCTCTCTCTCTTATCTCTCCCTCTCTCTCTCTTATCTCTCTCTCTTATCTCTCCCTCTCCCTCTCTTATCTCTCTCTCTTATCTCTCCCTCTCTTATCTCTCTCTCTTATCTCTCTCTCTTATCTCTCTCTCTTATCTCTCTCTCTTATCTCTCTCTCTTATCTCTCTCTCTTATCTCTCTCTCT